TAAGCCAGTAGAGCATTTGTGAGTACAAGCCGATTTGGAGATTCAGGCACTGGGAAAGAGGAAGAGAGCGCTTGGCTTAAGAGGCTTTGGCACTGAGTGAAAGTAAGTATTTTATGATCGCCGGTATATATCTAAAAACGGCATGGCAGCCGCAGTTTTTCGCTTTTGATTTATCTTGGCACGAACGACATTTGCGAGTACCTATACGTGTAGATGTGCGCTTGCGTGTATAGCACCGCAAAAGATCGGATTGCCATCGCTAGTGCTTCTTTGCACTGCAAATTACAGGATGACGATTTATACAAGATTGCGCCCCTAGATTTGCTTGTTTTTTTTTCTCATCTTGAATGTGAATTTTTTGACTAATGTGAGTGAGAAATAGTTTACGAAAGAACGATTTTCATCCACAATTTCCGAACGAAACATTGATTGACAAAATATTATATACAAGGATTTAAAAAATAAAGAAAGAAAGAAATCGCAGCCTATTAATTTGACCAAATAACTTCACAAGGGTTAATAGCTACACGTGTGTGAAATTGTGAAAAGTTTATACATATATAACTCTATACCTCTATTAATATTATTCAGATCCTATGAATAGATGGTGAGATTTCTTCCTCCATATCTCAAACTTTCAACCCATTGATTTTTCGTAATATCGGAACGATTACACAAGAGGAAATCCACAAAAAATATTCTGTTTGTGTCCCTTAGGCTGCAGTCATATGGATCGCAACAGAGCGAGCAGGATAGAATTGTTCCCATAAGCGATTGTGTAAAGTCTATTGCGCGGGGCAATAGAGCTATCCAGCAGCGCAATAGACTTAACACAGCCGCTTATGAGGACAATTCTATCCTGCTCGCTCTATTGCGCTCCATGTGACTGCAGCCTTACTGTGATATACAGTTTCTTTGAGGCACACCTTCGAGATATTCTCTGCGTGTACAATTTTGAAGCAGCGCCCCCAACGGGAAAACGAGAACTATTGGCCTCGCATAGCAGAAGGCAATAACTCACGATACGTGCTATATATACAACTTTTTCTTTCATTTCCAAAGTCAGAGCCATAAAGATCGATATAAGAATAGAGAGCGCCATAGACATAGGGATAAAGAATAGACCGCTTATTAGCAGCTGGGGCAGTGAGGCTCATGTAGAGAGAGGAAAAACGAGGGCAGTTAGTCTTTCTCTCTCGCACTCACGGAGTGGGGTCGTATAAGTACCTGAATAGAAATAGATTCCGTTTACTTTAAGGCTCTTTCAGGGCCATCTCCCGCTACCGGATACTCATTTCTATAGCCCCCGTAGAGGGCGTTACCAAGTGCGTGTCCGGGCGGGTTCAGGCGACCTGAAGATACGGTTACCATGTACTGACCATGCTCGGCCCTGAAGGTACATCTTCAACTTAAAGGTTATAGCTTCTGCTCCGATTACTCCAAATTATCGTTGTATACAAATAAGTACTTTTAAAGTAATAAATAAACGTGTACTATCGATAAAAAGTTCGAATCTCGTTTGTACTGTAAGAAAGTTCAAGTGCGATGTATAAGAAAATGAAAAGCTGGAAAACTCGACAAAAACAGAAAAATTCCTAAAACCATCAATGTAAGTGATGCAATCATGCAGTACACATTCAGAATTTGGTTATTGAAAATGAAAAAGGTATTGACGTGGATAATTTTGCGATGAAATAGGCTGCGTTAAGATAGAGTCTGGGAGTCTGCCAGACTGGCATTGAAACTCATAAGAGCGAGAGAGAGGTTAGATGTGATCACGTGATGAACATCTCTCTCACTCTTATAAGCTTCAATGCTAGTCTGGCAAACTCCCAGACACCATCTAAACGCAGCCATACACTGCTTCAATCATAAAAATCATGATTTATTCATTAATGAATCAGAGTTGAGTGAAAGTGTTGAGGATGAACGGGAAATGTTTGCTGAGAAGTATTGCTTTGCTCCTGCTGATAATAGTGATGATGATGATGATGATAATGATGATGGCAGTGATGATAATAATAATGATGATAGAAAATATTACAGCAGCTGTGCCAGTGAATATGTTAATGAACATAGTGATGGGAAAAAATCTGAACAATCATTTATTACAAAGGTCCTGATAGACTATGCTAGGTTGTGCAAGCCAGCTTATGGACACATCACTTTACCTATGTCACAAAAAACATGATCATAATTTTTAACTTGTATATATCAGGACATAAAATTTTTTTATTTACCTTATATTGTTTTTGCGCAGATTTATTTTTATTAGCTACGCTATTTTCATGTCACCGATGTTTGTTAAATTTATTATTTGTTTAATTTGTACTTGGTCCCTTACGGGCACTCCACGGTCCATTCCTGGCAACCGGAACCTAAGGAAGCCTGAACCTGGCCGAAAATGCACCTGGTAACAGTTGGTATACTGCCCGGAAAGACTTCTGAAAGAGGTCCGGAGACCAAGCTTAAGGCACCGGAGCTGGTCCTGCTACCTGCCGGAATGTGTATTTCTATTCGGGTGTAGGTATAGGAGTATGCATCGGTGCCTCTGTTTCGACATTCTGCCTGTGCCCCTACGACCCCACTCCGTAAGTGTGCGAGAGAGAAAGACTCACTGTTCTCGTCTTCTCTCTCTTTCTACGCGAGCCTCACTGTCCCAGCTACTATAATAAGCGGTCTATTCTTTATATGTCTATGAGAGCGCTAAACCCATATAACCCTGTCCGGTGATGTTTTTATTGGTGCGAGAGAGAACGCTGCATAGTTACCACAGTATCCCTATTATAATTATGCAACGGTCTCTCTCGCACCGTGGGTCATAGCTTAGTACAGGGTTATGTGAGTTTGGTTCGCTCTATTCTTATATCTCTATGGTCAGAGCTTCTGCATCTTTGCAGGTTACGCCAGCTAATAGCCCTACAAGATACACAGTATGAGATATATTTCATTGCATTTGCGTCAAGATATTTTAGTAAACATGCATGAGTAAAATGTGTACTCACTACTCATAATTTTAATAAAAATTTAATCCTTAGATTGTAGGTGTACAATACATAACTTTCTTTTGTCAGTAATGCTTGACAGTCTGCTAGCAGTAGACAAACAGTATGGATTAGTTTCACATAATAGCACAGGTATTGCTGCGATCGCTTTTTCAAATTGTGCACATAATTTTTCTTGTATGGTTATGTGCTATAAAGAAAAAATTTTTAATATGTGTTTTAGTAATAACCGCGGGAAAAGGTGACACCTTCACTGAAACCAGTGTTAAAATTTTTTTTTCTCACAGTACACGATATATAACGAGTGAAATAAGTCTGTTTTCAAGAGTGTTCCTCAAAAAAATTTTTCTTGTTCAAATGGGGGACGAAAACGGGATACTTTTTTGTGGATTTCTTGATATGCATACGCACGGATGGATAAAAGGGCAGTATAGGTACATATCAGGAAAAAGAGATTAGTATTGCCTGCACTGTAAAGCGCAAACTCGATGCACCCCTTTTTCGATCCGTGGCAAAAAGAGTATTTAAGGTGGCTTGGGTGGTTGGTACCGGACCTTGGGTGGGTGCCATAAGGGCCCCTAAAAAATCAACGCTTTTGGACGGTAAATTTTTCAATAAAATCAAAGTAGAAGATCAAGAAATTGCCAGAAAAGTATCGTGAAATTATAATTGTGAAAATTGGGAGATGTTGCGAGGCAAGCCAAATTAATATTTCATACTTTTCTTCTGATTTTCTCTTAAATTAGGTCGTTGACCCTATATTTTGAAGAATTTAATAGATTCTTTGTACAAAAATGTACAAGAACTATTTTTAATTTTTGAGGTTAATCAAAGATTTCCAAAGATATAGTCGATTTTGTGACCGCTGTCCTCAATAGTAGGTGTTAAATTAGTGAATTTTGAGTAGCGATTTGTGAAAAAATTAAGTCGTTGATCCCAGTATTTTCTTATCGCAAATAAATTTGTCATAATTTATTTACATAATTCCGAAATTTCAGAGGTTTTGATCAAGCCGATAAAAATCGCCCAAACCACCTTAATTAGAATCGGCGATAGGCGCTCACCATAAATCCTCGCGTCATCATTGCGTTACATTTTCCCTCCTCTTCTCATTACCATTCAAGTGCCTCCTCTCTTTGCGCAAATGCGCACCAAAGCAAAGAGAACATTATGTAGGAATCGTTGTCAACTACTTGAAAGAGAAAAAGGTGTTTCGTCCCGAGAGCACGCCAGGACTCATCAGTAAGGCTGATGACGTGCTCCCTGCCTTAGACACAGGAGAGGTGTGGGCTTAAACCGACTCGATCGATCTTATTTAGTAACCGTGCGGGAATTTCGCCGCTTGATGGAAGATAATTATTAGGGGCTTGGCCACCTAGCGAGTAGAGCCTGAAGCGCGAGAGATGTGAGTCGCCACACATAAGCATACTTATAAGACATAATAAGAGTACTACAGACTACAGCTCTGTCTTTCTTTGATTTTCCTCAACTCGTCTTGTAAAGGTTTATATGCAACTATGCATAAGTATTCAGAAACGCTGCGGGGTAGGTGTGTGTGAGTCTGTTTACGTACAGTGGAAGCCGTTTAATTCGTTGAGCGGAAAATTTAAATATCCGATTCCCATTGGCTGATTCCATCCCATAACCTCTTTCATTAGTAAATTTTATACTTCCCGCTCAACGAATTAAACTGCCTCCAGTAGTCCAGTGTACATTTGGGATCGTCGAGGTATGGATGCGAGAGGACGCAAATGAGCGACTGTACGCGACACCTTAGGTATAAGCGGTAAATTAGACTTTATTGAAGCTTTACATTAAGGTGAAAGACGTGCTTGAACGTTGAGCGCTAGGGCTAGAGTGCTGAATAGAGCACAAGTCAACTCGCGGGACTAGCTGCTGCTTCCGACGGTGGGCGCGTGAGGGCGCTGATGAGAGTCCGGGCGCCACAGCTACCCCCTTTCTAGGCTCATTTGTCCCAGACAAATGAAAGGAGACCTTCTTGAGAGGTCCTTTGTGCTGAGCAGGGTTAGCTGGGTTGTTCTGCGGAGGAGGGTGCTGCTGGGTTTGTTGAGACCGCTTGAGTTGCTTGGAGGGCGAAGTGTCCGGGCTGATCGAGGGCGTGGAGTCAGTCGGAGGGAGCTGAGGCCCCTGTGGGGAATCTGTAAGCGACTCGTCCGTGTGGGCTGGCTTGAGGTCGTTGGTGGAGATGGTCACCTGCCTGCCTCCTACGTCGATGATGTAGGTACGGTCGTCTCGGCGGGAGATGACTCGGTGGGGGCCTGAGTATGGAGGTTCCAGAGGGTGGCGTATTGTGCCCACGCGCCTGAACACGTACTCACATGTCCTAAGCTCTTTGTGGTGGGCACAGTCTTGATGGCTTTTGTTAGTTCCCGAAGACACTCGACGAAAGAGACAGGATGTGCTGCGGGGTTGCTGGTCGTGACGAAAAATTCGCCGGGCACGCGCAGTGTGGTGCCATAAAGCATCTCTGCCGGAGATGCCTGTAGATCCTCTTTGAAGGCCGTTCTCAAGCCTAGGAGGACTAGCGACAGTGCTGAGGGCCAGGGTGTTTGAGGCCAACACATCAGCGCGGCCTTGAGTGCCCTGTGGAAGCGTTCCATTAGGCCGTTTCCTTGGGGGTGGTACGGTATTCCTTGCGTATGCGATGCGTGCCCAGGTAGTTGGAGAGGGCTGTAAAGAGAGCCGACTCAAATTGAGCGCCCTGGTCCGTAGTGATGGTGAGGAGGGTGCCGTAGTGGGCAACCCAGCCCTCCAAGAAGGCCTTGGCTACTGTCGAGGCTTGCTGATCCGGAACGGGGATGGCTGTCGGCCACCTTGTGAAGCGGTCGATGATGGTAAGGCAGTACTGTGCGCCTTGTGCCATGGGCAGCTTCACGAGGTCAAGATGTACGTGGTCGAAGCGGGCCGACGGGGCATCGAAGGTGCCGAGGGCTGCTCTGTTGTGCAGGTGCACCTTAGCCTTCTGGCATGAGATACATTGCTGAGCCCACTGGGCCACGTCCTTTCGCATTGAAGGCCAGTAGCATTTCTGAGCTACTACTTTGCTGGTAGTCCTGATGCTGGGGTGCGGCAGGTTGTGGACGACTTCGAACGCCGTGCAGCGGAGAGAGGATGGAATGTAAGGCCTGAAGTAGCCTAATGAGACGTCTGCGTGTATGCTGTGTCCTTCTATGTCCAGGGCTTGTAGGGTGGGACACGAGTTCGCTGACAGGTGCTGGAGCTCTTCGTCGGTACTCTGGGCCTCTGCGATAGAAGCTGGATCGAGGAGACTGGGCATGCAGATGGCCTCTGTTCTGGAGAGTGCGTCCGCGACGATGTTCTCCTCGCCTTTCACGTAGAAGAATCTTGTGTTGTGCTGCAAGATGTAGTCAAGGTGGCGTGCTTGCCTTGGCGAGGCCTTGTCGGATGGCTGCTGGTGCGCCAGGGTTAACGGCCGATGGTCCGTGTAGGTGGTGAAAACCCTGCCTTCGAGAAAGTGCTGGAAGTGTTTCATGGCCGCGTAGATGGCCAGCAGCTCCCGGTCGTATGTTGAGTATTTCTGCTCTGCCGATGATAGTTTTCTCGAGAAAAATCCGAGTGGTACCCAGGTGCCTTTTGGGTGCTCTTGCTCAAGTGCCGCTCCGATGGCTGTGCCGGATGCGTAGGTTCTGAGGGCCAATGCGGCGTTGGAACGGAGGAAAGCCGTGGTGGCTGCATTGGCGAGAGCGGACTTAGCGCTCGTGAAGGCGGCTTCGGCTTCCAGTGTCCACTGAAGGACAAGTTTTTTTGCTGCTCTGGGAGGCCCTTGAGCAGATCGTTCAGTGGGGCGAGGATGTCTGCGGCGTCGGGGATGCACCTCCGGTAGTAGTTAAACATTCAAGAGGAGGGGTGAAACCTTGCCCTGTGACGGAGTAGCCCAGGAAGGTCACCTTGTCTGTCCCAAAGGTGCACTTTTCGGGGTTGATGCGCAGTTTGGCCTTGCGCAGGGTGGTGAACAGGATCCTCAGGTGCTGGAGGTGCGTCTCATGGTCCGGGGAGAAGATCAGGAAGTCGTCCAAGTAAGCCTTCACGAAGGGCAGATCCCGTAGCAGGTGATCTACAGTGCGCTGCAAAGACTGGGCCGGAGGCTTCCTGGAGAAGGTCTTCCACGATTGGAAGGGGATAGCGGTCCGGCGAGGTGATGGCGTTCAGCTTGCGGTAGTCACCGGTGATGCGCCAGCCTCCGTTAGGCTTCGTCACGACGTGTAGTGGACTGGACCATTGGCTGGCGGAGGTCCTCACTACGCCTTGGTCGAGGAGTGCGCGGAGCTCTCGTTTGGCTGTCTCACGGCGGGGGCCGACGAGCCGCCTAGGTCGTTCGTGGACCGGTGGGCCTGTTGTGATGATGCAGTGTCTCACCGGCAGGTCTGACAGGAGAACGGCGGTGCTTTCGCACGCTGTGATGTCCTTAAACTCGTGCAGGAGGGCATCGTAATCCTTGCTGTAAGGGCCAGGAGCAGCTGCGTTGAGCACGGCTTGGACGCTGTGGAGATCGGACTTGCGCAGGTGGCATGGTGCTGGAAGGCCAGTGAGGGGGTCAAGGAGTTTCTTGCCCTTGACGTCGACGAGCAGGCCGGTCTCGTCTACTCGCGGGACTAGCTGCTGCTTCCGACGGTGGGCACGTGAGGGCGCTGATGAGAGTCCGGGCGCCACATACATATGACAACGAGTATCGGGAGAGAATCGTTCGCGCCATGCGATTTATGTTGAAACTAAGACCTGTGACATTTCACTAGTTAAAATTTAACGCTAAACGGTACGACCGACACTTGTGGTTTTATTTATGTTTAATCATGTCCTGGTTAAGTACAATAAAAAAAATTAAACATTTCTTTTTGAAGGTTATCGGTTTTCATCTGATTTTACGGGTATAAAAGCACATTAAAAACCAGAAGAAAGATTTTTTACTAATTTCTATTGGACACCTGCAACAGGGGCATGATATTTTATGTTTTATGTAGAATCTGAAAAACTTATTCAGCCACAAATACAAGCATTTATAACGATGATAGCACTTTCCTGGGTACTAAAAAACAAATCCTTATGTTTTTAGCGGCCAGAATGTTATTATCTAGCTGTTATTAAACATTTTTTTCACAAAACAATACTTGCGATTCCAACCGGTCCTAATTTCAGATATATTTTTGTTACTAGAAACGATCCATATATTATTGAGTCTTGTATTAGAACATTTTTATCAGCTGAAAGTATAGTCACTGCAGGAACTGAATCAAGAAAAATTTCTACAAGTGATTTTTACAGGTACATATCGAAATACATTTAATAAATTTTTTTACCTTTGAAAAAAAAAAACCTGTGTATTTATACTTTTAAATCGTCCGACTCACGGTATGAATATTATCCTCAATGAAATTAATGAAAATGGATGTATGAAAATCAATAGTAAAAAAAAAAAGTTTTTTTATTAAGCAATTAATGCGTATATTATTTTTTACATAATTTCAATGCGTTGAATTGGCATGGAAAAACGATAAGAAAATTATTTATAAGCTAGATGTATGAAAAATAATTTTTGTACTCTATAACTATCGAAATGTATCACGAACGACGATCGTCGAATGAATAGGATTAATTTCAGCTTCAGTAATAATCCAAATGCATTATTTCGATCTCTTGAAAATGGGACCTGTTTTCAAGGTTATCTGTATTGTCCAGGTAGACTTCTTCTTCGTGGACCTCGTACTCCATGACATTATCAGCATCGGCATCCAAGCCTTCCGCGATCGTAGTGTATTGTTTTTGAAAAACGTCACTGTTGGCATTCTTTCCCTTGCCATAAGTATCCGAGAGAGGTTTGACTTTAAAGGCATTGGAGAGCGAGAAATTTTTCACGCTTTCACCGACCATCGAATCCATGCCCCGTTTGCCAATTTCTACGGCCATGTGACAGTTCACCTGCTCATTTCCAATCAACCCGGTGGTCAGCGACGTCAGCACACATTTAGGTACAAAAGGCTTGTACTCAGCAAACCACTGTACGAACTTTTCCAAATCTGCATTGTCTCGCTTCAAATGGTTGCTCAGCGAGTCAATGTTCTCGCCTGAGCTTGGTTTTATTTGGCAAAAATCTTCGAAGCACCTCATAACATCGATTGCGGCGGTCATCCCTTGCAAATGTCTCGCAATGGCGCTAGGTGTTAGTCCTTTGGCTTGTTTAAGATCTGCTCCAGAGGACCGACTTAGTGTTTGCTCGACGAATTTGTCGGGCCACATGCCCGAAAATGGTTTCTCCACTCGACGGATCGTGAAAAAACCTGCTTTGGTGAATTTCTCGTACTCGACGGGGTCCATCATTTCCTCTAACTTGGCCATATCCTGAAGGTAAATATGCGCACTCTTGGCATATGACAAGCGGCCTGCTGCGTGAAATAGAGGCAGCATTTTTTTAACGCTTTGGAGATGTAGCTGCCAATTCCCCAGTAATTCGGCCTCAATGTACTGCAGGGCAACGGTGACGCACTTGAAATACTGCACCCAGAGTTTAGCTGTTGGACCAATATTTTCAAGACTGTTTACCTGACGATCGAGTTCCTCCGTTAGGTGCTGCATGAACATATCATTGTTGAAGTCATTGATGAGAGACGGCCTTTCGTCCCATTTTTCGAAGAACCGGCGAATAAAATTTTTTGAGACTTCGGTTGAGTTACTGTGCTCCAAAATAAGCATGCCAAGGGCAGTGAAGCTTAATATATGGGCACGTAAGGTTCTGGTGTAATCATGGCCGGTCATCAGTTTGTTTTTTATTGAATCTGCGGCATATATTGTCGTCCATAAATCTTCGATTCCGCTTCCTGTCATAGTGTAGCCAATCGCGCCAAAATAAGCGATGAGTAAATGGTAACCGCCTAAACGTACTATAACATTTGATCGGCCATTCGCGTCCGATGTTACCAATGATCGAGTCTTCAAGTATAAAGTTTGATCGACAGTGAGTATACTAGTTTTTTGGTTGATTTTTTTGGTGTCGGAAATCGTGTATTGCAACGCCGAATTCAAAGTGTTCACATCCGATGGTGTTTCGTTGATGAAGGGTAAACAAACAATGTGAGATGTGTGGTATGTTGTGTCTCGAGATATTGTCTCGATGAAATCTTTCCACGTTGGCAATTTTTCAATTCTTAAAAATTTGCCCCACAAGTATCCTGTGTAATACGGAGATAACATGTGCGAAGGGCCTAAACCTAGAGCATCGGTGGAAACAAATTGAACATTGTTTAATTCTGTGTTCAAGTTGACATCGAATGGTACAATCGGGATTGTTTTTTGAGAAGCTAAGGAAGTTACTGGAGGCATTTTTTTCCATTTTTTCGGTCCACCATCATGTCGAATTGAAGATTCTGGTGAATAAATGGCGAGCCCTCCAAGACAGTGAAATCCTTTCTGACCCTCCATTGTGCTAACACTGTGGTCGACATTATTAAATACATACTGCACAAAAGTATTTTCGGCAATTATTTTAGGGGAATCCAAAATCGTTGATGCCTCGTACAATTGAAGATTGTAGTATGAAGGACAAATTCCAAGTTTCGATAGTACGTCGATTATGACACGTGAGCCGGTT